GATCAAAGAATAACAGTGGGTGATCAGAGAAGATAAAACATAAACAATTCTAGAAAGATTTTCACTTAAGAGATGCTATGCAAATGTTTTACAATCTTTTGAGTTTGAAAAATTGTGGACAAAACCTTGCAAGCAAGAAATATAAAACTGTTGGCTAATTAACTCACACTGTCTCTGGCATTTTATGATCTATTTGTGCATGAACTTGCCGAAATATTCTTGATTAGGCAAACATCACAATTGCCAAATGAGCACTCCTTGTGCCTTGGCCTACAGGAGGAAACGATGTACATGGAACTTAAATTACCCACAAGTATTGATTTTGGTTTTGGGTCTAACAGCTCGCGAAATTTACGCTCATCAATGCGCATGCTAGCCAAGTTGATATATTCTGTAACACTATTGTCGGTTGCTACTGATGCCATTTTTCATCCAACTTAACACATTTAATAGGCTTCCAGGATCACCAGCAAAATGAAATGCAGCCAAGCATTATCAGATACATTAGGTCTTCCAAGATGAACATACTTGATAGATGGCGGAGTCGCTATTCCCTATTGTTCCTCTTAATGTCAAATCAATCAGTACAAAACTTGTGTCTATGAACAATAAAACTGCTATGTACAGCCTGTAATGTTCTCAGGGTGGCCTGAATAACCGACACATGTTCATCTATACCATGGTGGCGAATCATTCAAGTAGTTTTTTCAGAGAATGTTAATATACACTGTATCATCATTGTAAAACTAATTTTGACTGGGAAAATTCCATAAAGTTGAAATGCTTCTGGGAGAAAAATAATTACAAATTTACATCCATCACAAACTTGAAGTTACGAACAGGATTTTAACACAATGCTCTAATTCGTTTGAATAATGCCGACACACACTTTCGGTTACGTTTTGGTTGTACTTTTCTGTTTGTTCATCCTTCCAGCGCTGTTGGAAAGATGATGGTCAAGATCGAAATACTGAATCAATTGCTGGATAACAAATTTTTGTTGGAACAAATCATTTGTGAAAACAGAATGACATGTTTGCAGCACATGATTTCTAAAAGTATTTTTCTAGTTTTGAGTGGGCAACCTTTACTACTTTTCAAACAGATTTAGACATCAATACCATGCTACAAACAGATTTCGACATCAATACCAAGCTACAAACAGATTTAGCAATACCCTCATTAATATCTAATAACAAAGACCCATTTTGTGTTTCCAAAACATGAGAATAATAACTACAATAAATCGCATGTATTCATGCCTGAAATCAATGAAAGCAACATAAGGGTACAATAGAATTGCTATACTATGATACTATAGGAAAATGCTATCAAAGACAACAGAATTCCAAATACTACAAGAAACTGCAATCAACACACAGAAAGTCTGGTAATGTGATGTGGATGTACTCCTTCCAGCGTTAACCATGTGCCATCAAAAGTAAACCTGTACACTGAAAATACAACAGAATACCAGGACCTTCCTTCACATGCTGAATTTTGTATATTTTGTTGATAACAAAGTTGTCCACCAGTCATGTCATCACAATTACAAGCAGGTGTTAACAAATCTAACATTTGCACTTTCAGCCAAGAGATTCGGAAGATGGTGAAAATAGGTTAAGTTTCAACTCTGATGGCAGTGGGCAATGAGCATCTTCCGTTGCTTTCATCTTACAGAGTTTTAGAAGACTTTGGGGCTAAGGTAATTATCACAAGGAGTGATGATAAAATCCACTTTTATATTTCTGATCTGACAATAACAGCTTCATCTTATATGTCAGACATATTGTAGAAGTAAAACACACACAAGATGTGAGCAGACTGCTAGTCCTCACACATTTGTTTTAATTATCAGAAAACTATGATTGCTTCGCAAAAATTAAATCTAACTCATTAAATATTTGCTTACATATGTTTACGATCACACTTGCCAATATTCCAAGATGACCAGTAAATAAATAATCCAAACAATCAAGTGACTGATGTTATGAGCAGCATGGCAGGCCCGACCACCAAATCTGTTAAGTTGCTCCCTACATCAAACACAGGTTGGTGGGAATACTTCCCATGTGGTCTCGTGGATACTGACAATACCAGTTGCACTGAGACATTGCGTATTTCACATAGCACTTTACAATGTATCATGTAGTAGATCAGAGTTCCTGACATACAGACCTGTGAAGATCTGGGTTAGAATTGGTCTTCAGTAACCCATGCTTGCCATAATCTAGCTAGGCAACTAATAGGATCAGGTGGTCAGACTCGCTGACTTGGCTGACACATGTCATTACATAGATTGATGCTCATGCTGTTGATCACTGGATTGTCTGGTCCAGACTTGACTGTCATCATATGGCTGGAATATTGCTGATTACAGCATTAAACAACAAATAAACAAACCTGACAAACAACTATTCTAAAACCTTTACTTGCCAAAGTGATGTCAATAAGTCAACTACACTGCCAATATTGAATTATTTTTGTGAGACATTAATTGGGCAATACATGAAATATTAAATTACAACAAGTATTGAAAAAAGTTAATTAGGTAAATGGGCAAACCAAAACTTCCTTTCAAAGTGTCTTGCAACAATAGAGAAGGGCTCCTTTCCTCCCGTTCTGTCCGTCGCTCTAGAACTTATGCTGTGTACTTGTGTATCATTAGCTGCTATTACATGATCTAAGCATGGCCTTCAGTGTACAAAGTGCAGAGACATGTTCCCTGCGATTCATCCATTAACTAAACATTTATAAGATTTCTACCCAATCTTCAAGATCTGGATCGAGCTCTGCGTGCCAAAACTGAACAATTCACTGAGGAACCCTGACGATCTTTAGCTGCAGGCCAAAAGCAAGTAAAAGAATGTAATTTTGTCAAACATTCTAAATGATACAGCCTTTGCCCAAATCCCTATGGTACAGGTTTATATAAGCTTGATCAAATACTCAGATCTTTACTATTGCTCGCTATAATCATCCGATCTATGCTGTTGGCCAAACTATCAATATCTCCAAGATCGCTGAGCAAAAAATAGACAGCATCGATAGTTCTGAAGATGTACAGATTGCACAATCAACTTTGATCGTAACAGGCAACTGGTTTGATGCTGCAAACAAGAAGCCTTCATTCTCGAGGGTGAACAAGTGACATTTTTTAACCATGAGATAAAATTGACAGCAATTATTCTCTAATGATCTACATATAACACAAATCTTTCTGAGCATGGCAGATATTTTCTAATGTACATTAAAAAACAACAGAGTTACAGTCTCTCATGGAAAAAATCCATTCCGTGTCAAGAGAGTCTTTGTAGCAGTCAGTAATGATGACCTTTGAGATCTACAACAGCCTCAGGCACATCCTAATGAAGAAATCCCCTCTTCTGACTTTGATGGTGACCTCCAGCCATGAAGCAAGTAATCTTCCATTTCCTTCCTTGTGATGTCAAGAGTGTAAAACATTGCCATTATAAAATGACAAATGATGAAACAAAATCAGTATAGGTTTCAACATTATCATAATCTCCTGAGTGATTTTCTTAAAAGGTCTCATCTTCTAATGTCCTTCCATGTTTGCATACCACATGGACACACACTTTCCTGCTTTTAACAGTTACTAAACAGGACCAAAAAGGGGGACAAGTAGGGATACAGCATTGTAGCTCACCATCCCATGTAGTCCACACTTGACACAAGGACGATGAAAATGACAATTTGCTTTTGCAATGATAATATAAAACCTTAGCATAAACACTGAGGACTAAATATTAATTCTGTAATCAAATGAAACAAAGGGCAAGTCAACTACTGGAAAGTTGAAGTCATCCATCTTGTCATGCAGTCATATGTAGAGTAGTCAGTAACTCTGAATCTTTATATCTAAATATGAAACAGATGAGGTGGTCTCTTGAGACCAAATACATGTCAGATTTGAGCTCCCTATGAATTCATGAGAGAAGTTTACAGAGTAACTACATGATAAAAAGAATGAAAAAATCAAACATTTGTGGGAAGGAAGAAGCTTGTGAAGTTTAAGCTTCATTAATCCAGTAGTTTCTGAGGAGATGTTTACAGTGGATGTCAGATGCAAGTATCACAATACAAAATGGACTATAGGCAGAAGATGACTCACATTGGTCCTTGTCAGAATATGTATTTCAGTGTGTACCTCAGGTATATGTTATCTATAAACAAACATACACAACATGTTTCTACACAATCAGCTGTAATAGCTCCATAATAGTCCGAGTACCATGCATCTAGTCAATGAGACAAAACTAAACAGATTAAAAATTAGTATCGACTACACTGGTTTAACTTTGGAACATTTGCTGCCATAGAAGAAATAATACTAAACCTAAAACTTTGTTGCAACAAACTCTAAGGCTTGTAAAGACTGACTGTGTTTGGTTTAACGCCGATTTTAGCAATATTCCAGCAACATCACGGTGGGGGACACCAGAAATGGGCTTCACACAATGTACCCATGTGGGGATTCGAACCTGGGTCTTTGGCGTGACGAGCCAACGCTTGCTCGTAAAGAGGTGATATGGTAATAGAAGACTTTATTCTGGAGGCATATATGTGTTTACAAATAATAAATCCATTGGGTAATATTCTTATGCAATCTCATTCATACATGCATGCATGCACGCACATGCACACACACACACCCTCAAATGGATATAGCTATACCTGATGTACATTCTCACTGTACCTGTGCTGCCTGAAAACAGCACTACTAAACTAAACTCCAAGCCTAGTATCATGTTGAATGGAGTGATTTCAGTAATGTCACTCAAACGTTTCGGTCACATGATGAGATGAGTTTGCGACAGTAACCTGGGAAACATCACTGTCAGAGCACAAGCAGGTAATTCATTTAACATGTGACACTGGGATGACAAGGCTCTGATTTCCTTGGTGACATGTGTCAAACACTGGAACATGTGGCTGAAAGGAAGACACTAATCTATACCAATACAAAGGGTACTCACTTTCTGCAGATAGGTATCCAATGGAAAGACATATGAGCAGGATGTAAGTCCACACCACAAATTTGTTTTCAAATCTGTACATTTTCTGTGAAAAAGAAGAAATACATTTGAATAAAGACAATTGTGGGCAAGTAGGATTTTTTTATGTGTACAATTTCTGTTCAAACAGATTCACTAAATTCATCTTTTTGATGAAACATTTTCTTGCAAATATATATAGTGCATCTTCAATGAAAGCATATAACTTTCAAAGCTAAAAGTAAAATTTGGTCTCTATATTTAGATAAATGAATTCAATTGAAATTGATATGCTGAATATACATAGAGAATGACTCAACAAAATGAAAAAAATCTATGTCTTGAATACACCCAAAACGGATGTGCACAAAGCTCAACTCAAAATAATGACCTGTTTGCCAGCTGTTTTCAATCAATTTTATATGTGATAACCTATAAAACTATAAAACATTTTTAATCAGCCTGTTGGCAAATGGTGTACCATGATTGTTTACTGTGCTAAATCAAGAGCTAATGTCTTGTGAGATTAAATTTTGACCTTCATTGCTTTACAAAGATAATTTGTAACACTTTTTCGAGTATTTTACGTCATTACACACTTGATTGGGACAGCACACATGTTCCGTATTTCAAGATTAGTTTAACTAACACTCAACTCTGTTTATTCAACAACATTGTAGGATAGCAACCAATCTGCTTGCATGTCAACGGTTTGCAAAGCTAAATATGCCATTCATTTCATCAACACCACTGAGCAGCCTCTGAGCAGCCTCTGAGCACTGGGAGACTGCATAACCATCTGCATCAGAAATGAAACACACAACTTTATGGATAAACTTTTAGCTTGATAACGGTGTAAGAATCTACATCGAAACGTCGCTCTATGCAATAAATAAGAATTTGTCATCCATAAAGTTGTATGCTTCATTTTTGAGTCACCAGCTTCTAGAATGCCGCTCAAACAATTACATCTGCATCAGTTCAACATTTACATATTCAAGCAAATATGAAGGTATGCATATGAACATGACACAAACAAACTCAAAGGATTACATGATGTTTACACAGAACATTTTCAATACTTGTGGATAGTATCAAAGCACACTACATGATTGTAAATTCCACACATAAAACTAGCTGAAGTCAAAATGTCATTTCACTTGGTGATGTGAATTTATCCTGATACCATGATGCAGTTTACTTTATTTCTTGATTTTTAGTCCAAAATAGAACTCTTCAAGCATCAGTGAGGTTTTATATCTGGTATTTATAAAAGAAGATCTACATCATATTTCTCTTGTTTACCTCAGAATTCAACCTTTAATCAAATGGTAAAGATATCTCTTCATCTGACAAGAAAACTAAAAACTATATGATATTCAAGTCATCAGCCATACATTGAAAGGAGTCCTCAAGGTGATATTTTTGTCTAGTCAAACATGGATGAAAGATCAATGGATTTAACGGGAATGTATTTAATAAAGTTAACAGGTATGAAATCACAGTCACTTTCTTGTATGACAAATTATACCATAAAGTCCAAACATATGGTATTATCTCTGTCAGACTCCCCTAACAATGCTATGCAATAACTGTAGGTAGTAAAGGTTCATATTTCCCCAGTCAGACCGTGATATTACCACACATCTTACCAGCCAATCAATACAGCAAGCTATAAATCCACGTGACAATCACTGTCATAACTTTACTTTGCACAAACTTACAATATGTATCTGCCACTGATGAAGGCAAATTTGCTATGTAACATAAACAAGTTCCATATTCCTCCTGTTGATGGATTCATACAGCTTCTCAAACTTATTTATCAATTTCTACTATAATGAAAATAATGACACAGACAGTAGACTGGATATACGTGTTCCATAAGAAGTCATTATCATCCCAACGATCAGTCTGTGGCAGAAACCTCTCCTTACAGAAGGATTTATTTGACTGATAAACGTGTCACAAATATACAAACTTTACCATGTCTTAATGCCACAGATGTTCCTGTCCGTTAACAGCCTAATCTTCCATCACCCTGTTAAGATAATCCCCTATCAGCATTCTCCAATCTTTTCTTGTAAGCTGCCTGTTATGATCCAACCAATAACATCATCCTGTGACTTAGCTATTTATAATCATGTTGTTCAGGCTGCAATTGGCATACACATTCGGCTGCATCCTCTCACTGGTATATTGTACTGCCTACAAGCAGCAGACTTTGTATTTGCAAACCAATAAGGGATTAGGTCGTCATTGTCTGTATCACATATATAGACATGCTTTTACATATATGGCACTACCATGTATGAATAAATAAAATATCACTACAATCATAAAATATTTCCTTCACCTGTGTTAGGTTCTACTATGAAACTGACATATATATTTAGTTATCTAACACATGTTGATCAACTCTGTATCAGCAAACACAAGAGTAATTTTTTTCTGAATTTGCAAACACACTCAGAAGAGAAATCCTGTTTTGAAGTTATGATGGATATGATTGTGTGTATCTCTTGTCCCTACAAATTGCCTGACCACCTCTGTGGTGTAGTGGTTAGAGCGTCCACCCGGAGAGTGGAAGGTCGCGGGTTCGATGCCTGACCACGTCATACCAAAAGATGTTAAAATATGGTACTTGTTGGTCCCTGCCTGGCGCTCGGCATTAATGGGTACAACAAGGACTGGTCGGCTCGGAGTCAGTATAACGTGTCTGAGTTGGGTATTCATGCTTCACTGCGGCATGGTATCTCAGGGGGCTAGCACTATAAAACCAGCTTAAGTCTGGGCTAGTACAAGCAGCCGCACATACACATACACACGCATGCACGTCATCATATGAGCGAAATATTCTCAAGTACGACGTAAAAACCCAATTTCACCTCACCTCACCTCACCTACAAATTGCCTAAAAAGTAAGTAAGTATTTACAGTAAGTATTTACAGTACTCCTTCCATGTCTAGACGTCACTATAACCGACAGTTCCCTGATAACTGACTACTAATACCTTCCAAGTATTACCACTCTGAGATTACACCATCATGTCAGATGTGTCCATGATCAGGACATGATTGTACTCAACTCTGCTTTTGGCATTTATGTCTTATCAATAAATATGAAAAGGTATTTTTCACTTTTAGATCTTATGATGAAGAAACTTTGTATCCTTATGGAAGCACAAATGTACATAAACTAAAACCATACACTTCAAACTCCATGCACTTTGTTTCCAGAAAACAGATTAGAACAGAAAGGTTTAGACTCATTTGCGCAGGTCAAGCCTCCCAGAAATGTGGCGAGAGATTCCAGGGTTTCCCTGAGAGATGCTTTCACACACCTTAAATGAAGAAACAAACAACTTTCCCCAGGAAGAGACATGGTGGTCCTAATTAGGTGAAAGAAAATATGTAGATCATTTGGCTGGAAATGACTGGCCAGAGTATGTACATGTATATCTGGAAGACAATGGAGACCAGATGGCCACCCTTCAATGTACACAAAGTCAACATCTAGAGTGTGCATGTAGCTTTACTGCTACTCCTACCAGCACTGTTGCCTGACATCCTACTGGCAAAACAAGATATGTCGTGGGGCACTTCCTGGACCTAAATCACTGGGAGAGACAACATTAAATCCCATAAATATTGCAATTGGTTTCCTTGATTGTGGTGTAGAGAGGATAATTCAGCAATTCCTCTTTTATTGAAACATACATTCATCTGAACTAATTGTCATTCTAACACTTACATAAAGTTTCTTGTTAAATGAAAATAACCTGATTTGCTACATAAGCCATCTTTAACATCATTCAAGATATCCCATAAAATGCTACACCAGAAATAGGCCTCACACCATGCACCCATACATCAGATCAATCTGGGGTCTCAAGCTAACTCTGTGACCACAAGGATATGTAAAACTACATTGTGGGACTATCTGAAACATTCCACGAATAGTGAATGAGAACAATCTCGGGATTTCCCAGGATGCAATACATTGAATATTACTCTACTTAAAAACTCAAGACCTTGCATAGTAGTAGTTATTAACCTACCTAATACATCATAGAGAAAAATAGTATCTTTCTGATTGTCTTAGGCCAAGGTGATATATAGTAATCAAGAAAACACAGTTATGGGTTCTAGGTTTTTACATAGAAGCATTGTCAGGGGATATTTGCAGCATCTAACTCAGGTGTTGAATATGGAACAGCATACATTCCCTCAAACAGGCTTCAAACCTATTATAACAATACATTGCCGCCAATATAATCGAAAAGCATGGATGGCATTTTCTTTTGCTTCATCCACAGCAGTCCATCAGAAGGGATTTGGGGATATTTGAAAATGTCAAATCCATTTTTATTTCTGATGAAATTGAAATGCAGATTTTGTATGTGCTCAGCTCAACTGTCATAGCTGTTCCCATGGGAGTAAGATCCATTCTTTGTAAAACAACAATTGATTGTGGCCATTGATGCTGCTCATAGACAGTGAACCTGCATAGGAATTGGAGCTCAGAACATGGAAGAGAACAGGCAAGCAGGGAACTGCTGTTAGCATCAGGTATTTAGGTATATATTGGGCTGGTTCACTGCTCTTCAGTTCTAGTGATACTGGTTTTAGTAGTTTGATCCCTGCCATCAGTGTCTGGTGGAGCAGCCTGTCAAAACATTTGCTGGTCATGCTGATTATCTAGGCCTGCTTCAACATATGCATTCAATGTATGAGGCCTGCTCTTCATGTCCCTACTGTCATACTCATCCTCACTCACTCAAGCCCTGATAAAGAAGGGGTGTGGTAGCCTAGTGGTTAAAGTGTTTGCTCGTCACTCCGAAGACCCAGGTTTGATTCTCCACATGAGTACAATGTGTGAAGCCCATTTCTGGTGTCCCCAGCCATGATATTGCTGGAATATTGCTAAAAGCGGTGTAAACCTGAACTCACTCACTCACACCTGATAAGGAAATCTTAAACAACAACAGACTGGTCTGAACCAGAAATGATCACCATGAGATCAAATCTTCAAGTTCTAACATGATTATTTGAGTTCAGTTTCCA